TTGTTCAACGCTAATTTCAAGCACTTCAAACGTCTTGACAAATGAAACATGTTGATGTTTGTTTTGTGTTTGGTGAACATTGTGACTTCGCCAATCTTGTCTTTAAACTTCTTGAACCAGACTTCACTCAGCCGAGGCAATGGTCATGCAAAAGAAGCAGACACATTTTTCAATTACTCAGGTTTCGGGCAGATCGATGCGTTCCTCGGCACAAAACCATTTGTTCAGCCGGAGAGTCGGAAGATCTAGTCCTAGATCTGGATACTGACCACAGTCAAGTAGTTTGATCCTTGAGGTGTGGATACGAAGCCCAAAATGGTGGTGGATCCCCGACATCGGGATGACCACCTTGTTTTCCGTTTGTGGTGTGGGGTTTTGTGCCCAAACCTGGTTGGTGATCAGGGGTCGTACCCTGTCCAGGTATTTGGAGTCTGGGAGATACTCAACAGTCTCTCCACTCATGAGCCTCTCTGCGTATTGTTCGGTGTCTTGATGAAACAAGGATCATTTTTGGATGTCACGTAGATCCAGAAGAGATGATCTATTTTCTTTGTCGAGAAGAACTGCCTGGCCCGGCTTGACCGGTTGACAGGCCCAAGACTTTGATTCGCCCAACCGGTCGAGTGTCTTAGTTACCGAGGAAGTGGGTCTTGGGAGAGACCACCATCAAGAAGACCATGTCGGTGGAGGATTGAAGTAGCTGTGCGGTGGGGTCGAACTGAGTCGAAGTCTCCATTCATTGGTCCGGGCTGATTCTACTCCACCGTATTGAAGGAAGAGTATTGCAATCAAGCTACTGTATATAATGTGCAGACTCCCATGAACCAGGTAATGAAAGAAAACACATAGATATACACAAATTTTGACAGCAGTCTAGAGTTTTCCTTTGAGGGCCATTTTGTTAGCCCAAGCTGTGATGGTTGGGAAGGGAAACTGGCTTTTGCCTCTGCGGGAGTCACCACAAAGTATCTAAGTCCATCTTCAAGACCTTCGAGATGCTTCTTTTGGGAGTCATGCAAATCTTCATCGGTTGGAACTGGGATGGGTAATGGGTCATTGGGTGGCTGGCATGGTTGGTCCCACCCCCCAAGAAACATGAGAACCAACGACACAGGGGAAAGAGTAAGGGCTTTGTATGCACAGTTTCGCAGCGCGTTGATGTCGTTGGATGCCTGCTTGCCACTGGACATAACAGCAGGAATCTGAGTGGCTCCTGCTGTTTTGTGCCATGCTGCCAGGGTTGTGGGAAGCCCGTGCTCTTCTGTGTGCAGTCGACACCTCCCCAAGGATTTTGTGGTGTTCCAGCTTTCCGAACACAAGGCCATAGCATCTGAACGAGTGTACATGTGTACATTGTGCAACGCAACGCCGCCGCATGTCCAACGCTGACACTATTATAGATTATAGAGTGTTCTGTTATAGTCGATTCATGTATGCTCTAGCTATACACCACACGGTTTCAGCGTGCCGTTCACCAGAAGAGTTTCAGTCGACCTGAAAACTCGCCGCACCTTCAAGCTGCGATCCGTCCGACAGGCGTTAGCCGCACCAATCAACCGCTGGGCTGTGAGTTCAGTGGGGGTGTCTCATCTGTGTCTTACAGCGTTTTGTACACTGGTTTATCATATGGGGGTCCTTCTAAACCACCTTTTGGGGATTGTGCCATCTACTGTGAAACCACTGTAAGGATCTCCCACCGACATCGTCAGGTCGCGACCCAACCCCAATAGGACGCAGCTCCGAAAACCGACAGACGGATTCGACGTTTCAGGGAGCCCATGTCCCCAGTCCGACCGAAGAAGCAGGAGATGCAAGAGGAGTTAAGACGAAGAGTGGTTGGAGCACTCAAACACGGCCTTCCAATGCATGTGGCCATGGCGCATCTGGGCAGAAGATGTTCAGTGGCAAGTCAAGCGGCGAGTTTTTAAGCGGTTTTTAGCTTTGGGCAAGTGACAGAGGGTGCTTGGAAATAGGAAGGCCATGGGGGATTGTATGGGGCCCTTGTATGTTCTTCAATCGCGATCTGTATGGGGCGGCCAGGAAAAGTTTGAAGTGAGGCGAGCTCCCAGCCATGTCTGAGTGTCTCAGTGGCCATGTCTGCTTGGTCTCGGCGTGGTTCGATGGTCCACTCCGCTTTCGCCCAGCGGAGCCCGTGTCCAGCTCAGGAACACCGCAGTGGCCTTCAAAGAGAAGTTCTGTTCGGAGGGCAAACTGCCTCCGGTCTTTTTTAAGCTCAAGGACCGGAGTGACATGGATGGACCATAGAGGACGAGTTTGGAGAACCCAAGTACCAATAGAGGACCGTCGACAGTGTTGCATGATTAGCAGCCGAAAGTAGCAAGCACGAATACCTAGGAAATTCTGGTAGACAATAGGACTTGCTTTTTTGGGAAATTCTCGAGGGCCCCTAGCTGGGTGTTTTGAATCAATGCATCTTGGGTTCCATGTCTGGTCCAAGGGACCCAGAACCAGTCTTGCCCAACACGCGAGCGCATGCAAGCTCCAACACACTCCAACTCCCTGAGGATGCCACTCCCACTGGATGGAGTCATACACTCCCTGAAATACTACGTGTAAGTGGATGGCATGGTCCCTTGGATGACCATGCCATCCGAATACCAAACAGGTGGTGAACTCCACTAACCCATGAGGATTTCAAGGAGCGTAGTGGCCTTTGAATGGCTTTTGCCACAGCTCAACGATAGACTCTAGACTGTATCATTTGCAAGCCTTCCTAGCCCACAAAATCAATCAAGCCTGCCCTTCTGGGTGAAGGTGTCCAGGAAATGACCAGTCTTCAGTCCGAATATCTCGTGAAAGGACTTCAAAGGCGATCCTGAGAAGTCAGAGCTGCTGTGCCGAGTTGGGGGGTTCTCGCCGTGGGTTTCTGCCACCAGGTGTGCCTTGGGGGGCTTCCAATTCACTGCAGTTGATAAAGCTGCACTTCAACATCGGTGAAGCCGCACTAGTTCTCTTCTTGAGCAAACATTTCCCTGTTTTGTTGTTCCGGTCATTGTCTTTAAACGAATCCTACCGATTCCCCTCTCCAGCTTCTCCAAACTCATAGCAGATCGACCAAAAGATTGGTGAAGAAAGGGGCTCGCCCTGCTGCTCTGAAATGGAGGTATCAATGGTTTCCTGAAGAGTGGCCTAGTCCTACTCTTGAGTAACTGAGGCTGGTTCCAACCTTCCCAGGTTGGGGTGTAGAGAGGACTCGTGCGGTAAATGAAGAATGATATACTGGGTCAGAGGGACATCAAGCAATGAGAGAGGACTTCAAGCAATCCATGTTCTCTTCATTCCTCGACTGGCCAAGGGTATTCACCTTCCTCGACCTCCGCTCAAACAGGCTGCCGATATATAGTGATATATAATGTGTTCCTTTGTTTTTTTTGGTTGGTGATACTAGCACATCTGGTCGTAGATAGGGTTGTTGGGCAGCAGTGATATGCAGGTGGAACATGTGGCTTGACTCAAGACCTCCACACCAGCACAGAGTTTTTCTTCTCGCGCGAAGCCTGGGCGAAAAGCCTATCCCTTCGTCCCATCCGGACGTCAGAGCTGGCCAATGAGGGAAGAGCATCCCTACCGGAAGATGGTGACAGAGGAGGACCTCAAGGATTGGCCTGGTGCCTTTCCGGGACGCATGAAGGAAGGCGCGCGCAGAGTTTTGGACGTTTTTTTTTTTGACGTTTTGGCGTTTGTGCACTTTTGTGGCAATTTCCAAAGTGGCGGTTTCGATATCGATTGACCAAGGCTATTTTAATTTTGAGCCAGTTTTGAGGGAAGTATAATATATATATATATTTATTGCAGTTGACACGGTCCTTCCTGTCGTTGTTGTTGTTGTTGTTGTGGTGGTTATCGTCGTCATCGGGAAGAAACAATTCTTTTAAGCCTGCTCCTGGCTGGCTGAGTGAAATCATTGAGGTCCATTGTTGGTCCTGTAGCTACTCCTTGCATTTGGAGGCTTTGTGAGCCCTTCTGATACTGATCTCCCTGGCTCTGGCGAGAGGAGGGCGACTCACCCACAACATGAACCTCCCAAACCATGCGTTTCTCGGAAAATCGTTTTCCAAACGTCTTTATTCCGGAAATCATGTGGATTTCGTCCCAACGTCGCCATATCATCTTTTGCGAGGCTACTACTTGGTGGTCACCACGGATTTTGACCTCAAGAGCGCCAAAGAATTCCTCTCAGATGCCTTGCCTTTTCTGGACGACATGGCCATCATCGAGATTGATCCCAATTCCTTTGGCTAGCAAAGGAACTAAGCCGACCAAATTCACTTTGAAAAAAGGGTCTGGAGAAGTGGGAGGGGTGTGGTTATTGCATTCTATCACCACATGTTGCGCAGACAAAACAGCACTACTCAAGGCCTCTTCTCTTCATTGTGTACGGAAAACCGATTTCTGAGGCACTCACAAGTGGAGCAATTCCACAGATGCACAAGATTCAACTGCCCAGAACGAACGTCTGATTTTCGAGTTGGAGGCCATCGCTATTAGCTTGGAGGCCATGGCTATTAGCTTGGAGGCCATTGCTAGTAGCTTCTTGTTACTACTAGTAAGGCACCTGTTACTACTAGCGTGGCACCTGTTCCTGTAGAACGTCTGAATTGCGATGGTTTCCATGTCTTGGAGCGAGGTGTGCGGGGGTTCTGACGCGTAGGCACGCGGCTGTGGAAATCCGGTCGCTGCCACGTAGGCTGTGCTGTGCGTACCCCAAAAACCAACAAAAACACCAATAAGCTCATTCATAAACGCTGTCTGCACCAAGTGACGACATTTTTAGCTGCTATGTCTGCGCTAAGTGATGGGATTTGCCAAGTGAACCCCTGACCCCGTGACTGCAAGCTCTTTGGAGCAATCCTTTTAAAGGTGTCCCTTCAAGGCAACATCCTGCAATCGGAAGTGAAACGAATCACAATCCATGCAAAAAGGCCTCGACCTGGTACGCGCGGTTTTGACAGGTTTTGACCAGCGAAACCAATGCCTAGGTCATGGTTGACTGCTTCTTTGCCGTGGACATGGTCCTGAGACGGGATGGCCCAGTTAGAGTTGACCAGGGGAGACATGGACCTGGCGACTTCCAAAAAGCAGCCGACGTGTAGGGTCCCCATGATTGCTTCTTCTTGGAGTATTCCTTGGTCTATTTGCTTGAGGTTCCACAGCTTCACTGGAAAAGGTCCCGACAAGACCCTCGGCCATTAAACCCCTCCAGTCGCCCCCCAACCACCGACGAAGTCCATTTCCTCACCTTCGATGAAGTGGTTTTAGTTCTCGTCCGGCCTCCCATGTCAGAAACAACAGAGGAGAAAAACAGCTATCCCATGTCGGAAAATACTTGACGAGGGTTTTTTCGTGGAATCCGGACCCAACGTCTTGAAACCATCGGCAGATTCGGTCGTTTTGCTCGGACCTTCGCTCGAGGCTTCCGGACGGCCTTTTTGGACCCGAATGGCTTGCTGAACACGGTGCCCTCGGAGATTGCCAGGTGGGGAGTCTTCACTCGCATCAAAGCCACCTGGGCGGAGGTAGTAGGGTAGGGTGAGGAGCCAAGCGGAGAGTGGAACCATAGTTAATTTATTGACAATGATTCGATTATATTCGATTTATTTATTTATTCATTATTGTTTTTTTTTTTTTTTAATATAAATAAGGGGTCTTATCATGGTTTATGCATCACTGATTTTGGGGCTCAGTTCAAGACGACCAAAGATCTGAAGGTGCCGGCCTTTTGGGGTTTGGACGCCCCATCCTATTGCAACTCGATAATTTTAAGAATAGGTCCAAACCCAACGCCCCAAAACCATGGGAAGCTGAACATATTTTGCAGATTTTTAAAAGTCAATTTTTACTCCAATGTCTCAGCATGCTGATGTACTGGTAGTTCGGTGACCCTCCCAAAACCAAGCATTGATTTTGGTCTAAAGTGTGAGATCTGCCCGACATTACCTGCTAATCGTCGTTGTTCGTAGAGGTTTCTGTTTTGTCTTTTTTTCATGATTTATCGGGAGGGGGGGCGCAGGTGCCATGAAACACCTGAAGCCAGGCACTATTTGAAGACCTACTTCCTGGTGGACTTCCTCTCCACGGCGCCCATTGATCGGGTGGTGGAGGCGGGCCGAAGAGGGCCAAGGCTACACCCACCCACCCGCCTGCCCGGTCCCATCCATCCACCACATCCAACATGGAACGGAGCAAGGACTGTGGGAGGAGGGAGACGGTGGGGTAGGCGAACTCGTCGCACAGGGCCCCTGCACCAAAGGCTCCACTGTTTATGTGTTGATGCTGGATGACTCTTGTGCTTTTGCAGCATGAGCACTATGAGTGGGGTCAAGTTGAGCAGTGCTTGTACTGGTCATTGGCTTGCCATAGCCACCTGGCATACAGGTGGTTTCGGGTTGGAACATGTGTGTAATTAGAGCATATTGCCGTGGCCAATTCAGCTTTAGTAGAGAGTGAGGTCTTGTGATTGAACATCTGCCGTTCTGAGAGCAGCAGAACCTGACTCGGTAGGCATGGGGAGTGGCCAATTGAACACAGACACCTGGCACAGTGGAGGACCCCAAACTGGCGCATCGGCGGGCGAAATTGGATCTTCCAAGAACCATTTTTTCTTTATATAACGGGTCTTTATTCCAGCCTCTGTCCGCGCTGTCCTTCCAAACTGTTGTGGGACAGAGGTTTACCAAAGAACCATTGGTTTTGCTAAGGATTTTAGTACAAGAACAGGTCGTTCAGGGACGTCCACACCTGCTGGTGTCTCCGCCCAGGCGGTTGCCACGGAGGCGTCCAACAGCAGCGTGCTGCGGACGCTGAAGTTGGGGGCACCTGGTGATGCTTCTTGCGACCGATTAGAATCGTGGTAATTGGAAGGTGGGCGGTGTTTTTGGCCCACCTGGTGTTCAAACAGAACCTTGGTGATTGGAATGGCAACGATGCATTTTTGAGCTGATCCAGGCCGATCAACCCAAACATTTCTTGGAACCGTGTGTGGTGAATGAGGGGAATTGTGACAAACATCCACAGGATAGATCCCCCATGAACACATGATAGATCCCCCAATTAAAGATTCAAGCGGGGGCAGCTATGAACAGTATTCCCCTCTCAAGTGCTTTGGATTCCTTTCTCCATCATATTGTTGTAGAGGGAAAGGTGAGCGCACGTTCTCTGCTGCGTGTGTGGTGACCAGTCTTGTACCATTGTCAGTCTATACCATTCTGACACGTCACGTTTTGTTTTTGTGATAGCCAGGCCAATTCGAGTCCATGTACACTCACAGTCCTGGCCTGCTGGCGAGCTCTATGACTGAGCGGGCGTAAAGGGTGGTTTGCAAGACTTCACCCAAACAGATGGCCTGGTGACGTTTCTTTTTGCGTCACCAGGGCCGGAAGCAGCCTTCTCCTCCAGGTCGTGTGGCCTTGGGGGTGTCTTCTCCTCATGTCGTTCGTGCACCACTCGGGGACGGTCATGCCACCTGGAGCCCCGAACTCATCCGGAGGTGGACCTCATCGAAAACGTCGGTCGATTCGGCGTCGATGCTCCGTGGTCCACGGATCGGCCTCCCGGTGCCATGACCCACGGCCCACGGCCATGACTCATCCCACGTCCAGCGCATCTGGGACAGGCTCACGCGCTTCGCGCGGCTCTTCCGCTTGATGAAGCCAGCTGGCTGAGAGGGATGGGACTGGAAGGGGCAGGTCAAACTAAGAAGACAGTGCAGGTTGTGTGGTGAAGTGACCTAAAAGTGGAAGTCTGGACCTGGAAGCAGATGGGGATTGTTTTAGGACCATCTTTCACCAAGCAGTGAGAACTATATATATATATATACAAAGTTATACACATAAATACGATCTTTTGGAAAGCATGGCTTGAGTGGAAGACTCTGCTGCTGACGGGCTGGTCGGACTTCCTCCACCGAAGAAATCCTCGCCGATGACCAGCGATGACGTCATCCCCGAAGGGCTGGATCACCTGCCATGCGGGAAACGCTTTTTTCACAGCACCCCGAGGGGTGCCGTTCGCGGTGGACAGATGGATGTCCTTGTTGGGTGCATGTTTCTATTTTGATCGGCACTGTTTTGCGAGGCGCCGGTGGCACTTCTGACAACTGTCCGATGTGTCCATCTGTGCCGAGCTGGAGACTCTGAGAGTCGGTCCCTCCGGTCTTGGACTGCACCGAGTCGGTCGGTCGATGAGGTTGGCCAGGATGCTGAAGCTCTTCAAACTCGTTGAGTCAGCTGAGTGGGGGGCCCGGCGTAACTATGGGAGATACCAAAGCAAACGGACTCAATTTGGATCAATTTGGTATCTTCCCTCAACTTGCCCTGGGCTTCCTAACTTGTTCTTATATAAAGTCTTATAGACTCTTCAATTACATCCTTACAGACTGAGCGTTCGTCACATGGCCAGCATCGTTTCTCGTTTCGATCGATGTTTCTTGAGGTTTCTTGGTGGTATCGGTTGCTTGTGAGTATTGGAGGGTGAACCTGGAAACGACCGGCCACGTCGTTGGTTTCGGCGTTGACATGTGGGCGTTCATTGGATCTGATAAAGAACACTGATCGGCAGATGTGCGAATCTGAGCACCATGAAACAAATCAATGAAGCAACTAGTAAAAAGGGCTCGCTATTTGCAGCAAGGACGCTACTAGTAGCTCCTGGCCCTACTACTAGGAACAAGAAGCTACTAGTAACAAAGGGCATCGCTACTAGTAGCAACATAATCAAACATCACCAAGGACCATTCATAGTCTTGCCAAAAACCACGAAATCGTTCTTACGTGTGGCTTTTCTTGCGTTTTGGGGAGCGCTTTAAGAATAATTACAAGCGCTGCTTGCGCTTGTTGTGAAGGTGAAGGCTTTCAGGCTGTGGCTGAAACCAATGCTCCATTTGAGGATGCGGTGCCAACTCCCCAGGGAGGCACATGGTTCTACAACTGGTGGGGCATGGGACTATCTTGAAGAACAAAGACATGAGCTGCGGCGGACATGATGAAGGAGCACTAGTGGTCACTAGTTGAGCAGCATATCCCGTTCTTTTCTGACGAGGCAAGCGAAAACCCGAGTGTGAAATACTCGACTTGTCGAGGTCCTCCGTGGAGGTGTCTCCACTCATCCTGCGGCTCATGGTCTTGCCCGGGCCCCTACAGAACTGTGTCGTCGGATGGAGAGTTCCTGCCAGGCAGCGTGTGGCATGGGGAAGACGGGAGGGCTTCCAGATGAGTTGGGGATGCAAATGACTCGGAGGAGAAAGTTTCCTCGAATCCATGAAACCTCGGCTTGGTGGATGAGTTGTTTTGTTTTCTTCTTACAGTCTATAGTAACAGTTTATACATGTTTATACGCATTACATTATACTGTATTTACTAAATGTCTCTAAACAATCAATCTGTACGGCCAAGTCCGCTTGTTTCTTGCTTTCAAACCACCGGCGCTTTCGACGGATCCCCGAGTTCCTGCACTCCTATGGACGAACATTTGACATATCAAATCGGTGAATGACTCGTTCGGCCAGAAAGCTGTGCCATCTACTTGTACTTGACGTGTTGTGTAGGTGCTTCTTGATCTTCTTGCTCTTGGTGATTTGGGGTTTGTCTTCTTCAGGACATGGTTTCCGGGGTGCACTCAAGCAATCGATCCTTCCTGAGCGAAACAAGAGGTTGTAGACTCCCATTCCCCCTGCGGGCCAGCTTTATAGAGGAAGCTTTTGTGCTCTCCGAATCCTGCAAGCGCACAGCCTTGGCTCCCCTTGGAAAAATGCAGACCTGACGACGACCGGACTTCCGGCAAAGGAGGGAAGCCGTCGCTCGTGGGCCGGCAGCGAGGTTCATGAACGTTTGCTTTCTGGCACATGTGGTGGCCTGTGCCTGGCATTGGCTCACCACCTTGCCCAGTATGGATGATGCACGGAGACTCAGTGAAGACTCGCTGGACAAGGGCTTCCCGAAAAGGCCAAAAGAACACGGCAGGGTTTCTGGGTGAACCCTCACAAAAACGAGAGGGGAAAGACTCGATCCAAAAAAAGGCACCTTCTCGTCTACGAACGCACCTGAAGGACGCCCCACCACCGGACCTGCCGTCCCTCCGAGACCCCGACACCGCAAGGCCTGCGCCTCCGGCCTCCTGTTCTGCTACGGCGAGACGTCCTCGGAGACCTGGCTCGCGGCCCCCGGGTGCGCCGGTGCAGTCGCCCCCGCGTGGCGTGGCGGCTGACTGCAGGGTGACTGAAGGTGACCAGGTCGTAGACCTACGCGCGTGACGGTGGGTGACAGATGGTGACAACCTGGTTTGAGAGAGGGCGAGATGGGTGATATGGGTCCGTGTCCTTTTCGGAAGTCAAGTGAAGGACAAGCGCTCTCTCTCTCTATATATATATATTTGTATATACAAATAGAGAAATTATACTAGAGTCACTAGAGAGTCTCTACACCAGGTCTGCTTGTTTTGGCGGAGACAATGCTGGGGTGGGAGTATCCAGCTTGGCATCACAGGTCACAGAATTTTATAACAGCTGTACTAAGCGTACTGTAGTCTTGTTCCACTTCAAGTGCTTGCGTGATGCGAAGATTTTGTTTACTTCAATTCACTGTGCCAATGCACTCCTCAACCCAAAACTGCCAGGGGATGGTATGATGTGACTGACGACTTCAAGAAGTATGTGGCCGCGATATATTGGGTGTCTTGGCAGCTTTCAAGGATTGTGGACTAAAGCCGAAAGCCGAAGCCACTGGAATCATCCATAAGCCGAATGTCCAGAACATCGATCCCGAAGTCACCTCCATATACCTTAAGGTCTGTCCGTTCGCCCCACTTGTGTCCGTTCGCAAAAGGCGAACGCACAGATTGGATCGCCGAAGGATTTGACCAGGGGTGTTCTTGAGTCCATGAGGTGTGACCGACTGAACGGTGAGATTCAGATCTAGTCGAGGTGAGAACTAACCCAGTGACCAATGGAGAAAAGACCAACAGGACAAAACCCAGCTTGGCCCAGCTTGGGGGTGTTTAGTGTTGTCCCCGCTTTTCTGACTGGTGGTGGCCTGAACAGTGGCAGATGCTTGGAGCTGGAGTTTGCAAAACGAGAGTGGGACGTCGTAGGATTTGAACATCCCCTATGTCAAGCTCCACCAACCAATCAAGACAATCAGTGTAGGGCGAACACATTGGGGTCCTTGACATCTTTTCTCATTGCTCTGCTATGAACAGGTCTTCACCACCATGACGACTGTGGGATATGGCCGCGTACTCAGTGTCCGTCAGATGTTCAGTCTGAAGGGCTGCGCTTTTGAGATGTCGAAGTTTACTGGCATTTACCCCTTGTTTTTTCTGGGGGGTCCAACTGCTATAAGGGAAGAGTCCCACACTGACACCAACCCAATACTCCAACACTGCAGTCATACTGAGTCATACTGTTCATGTTTTCCTTCACAATCTTCACAGGCGCTTCGTTTAGGGCAGCACTTGGACCTTCTTCGGCCCACACATAGCGGTCTTTAGGAGCCTCCTTTTTGATGTCAGGCTTTGGACGACGGCCGGTGGAACCAACTGGTGGGCGGGCGACGGGTCGGCCGGAGATTGGCTAAGAAGGCTGAAAATCCGGATCTGAGAGGATCCAACATCCAACATCATCCACGTGTCCAACTCCAAGGTGGCCAAGGCGGCCAAGGCTCAAAATCGGAGAGTTAGTTTCTCCTCCTTCCTTCAAGAGGATTGGGTTTCCGAAAAAGAGTAGTGGTACCCCGTCGTTCAGTAAGGTAAGAGCATTTCACTTGGGCACCCCTTTGGCCCCTTTCAGTTGTAGACTTGCTGTGGCATTACCTGTCTCTGGGACCTGTGTAGCCTGTTCATCTTCAATATGTACCCTGCGTTTCTGAGCCTCAAACATGAAAGTTATTGCTGTTTCTGGTGCAACTCTTGCCGAGCTTCACGAGGATGCGATCCGTTCAATGGTGGATGCTGGAGAGTCAGTCAAGGATCTAAAGCGGATTCTTGCAGATCAAATTGGATTTTCAAGGTTTCGACAAAGACTCTTCAGTGAAGAAATCGGCGAGCTGCAGGATGACATGTCTTTACAGCCGCTGCCAAGTGTACAACTGGTTATACTGAACTTTTGTCCTCCTGATGAGACTGATGAACTACTCCGTGCATGTTGTCAGAACCGTGTAGACGAAGTCGAACATCTGCTTCAAAGACCACTGGATCCAAATCCGAGTGGGCAATTAAAAACTGGCCACTTTGCCTGGAGAACAGCTTTGTTCGCTGCCGCACAGAACGGCCACTTGGAAATTGTCCAGCTGTTGTTGGAAGCTGGAGCTGACA